AATATGATCTACAAAGCATAATGCTAGGTGCCTAGGTTTCTATATAGGGAATGGAGAGAGACAGGTGCCTAAAATTTCCATCCACAGAAGCCAGAATGCTAGACAGGGAGCTATATAAACTAATCAATGAGAAATATTGACCAGAGCAGAGTATTCTGTGATTCAGCTGCCTTACAGTGCTAGGCACCTAAGCCTGGACTGCAGGGAATAACTTATCACTATTTGTGATCTACAGCTCAGAAGCCCTCTCCTGGAGGCAGGTAACTTAGGTGTTCAAAACCTTTCCTCAGAGACTGGACTAGGTTCCTTTCTTACTCCATATGAAACAATCATAGGAGGAATAATGTTCACCTTATAACTTTTAGTGTAGTAGATTAAAGCATTCACCCAAGCTGTGGGATACTTAAGTTTTATTGTCCCCTTCTACTTGGTGGGGAGAAAGGATCTACACACACATCTATCACCTCTCAATAGAGTGGTCTAGTCACAGACCAATGGGATATTCTGATCAGGGGGATTCTTTCAATCTCCCTGCTGAATAAAATCAAAGAGCAATTGGGCTAGAGCGGGGTGGGAAAAATCTAGCCTGCAGGCCAGATCTGGGCCACCAAACATATTGATCCAGTCTACCATGGCCCAGTGGGACCCTCAGGTGGATTTCCTGTTTGCCATTGCCCTACACATTGTTCAAAGCATCTAACTGCTGCAGGCAGTGTGTGCTCCTCTGTACAGCATGTCCCTTGAGGAAAAGAGGATCTCTGCTGGCTTCCCTCATCCCCAGTACAATCCTTGCACCTCCCATTGGCCAGAAACCAGGTAATTGGAGGTACGGGGAAGAAATGTGGGCATGTGCAGAATGCCTCCCTCTCCCTAAGGGGTGCCCCACACAAAGCCACACATGATGGCTCCAGCAGCCAGCCACTTTGAATGGTATGATGGGCTGCAGCAGACAGGCAGTCTGCCTGAGGGTTCCGCTGGGCTACCAGCTGGGAGCTGCTTACAGTAAGCACTATCTGCACCTAGCACCCTAGCCCCTCCTACACTGCAATCCAGCGACCTAAATCACAACCTCTAGCTGCATCCAAACTCTCTCCCAGACCCCATAATTCCTCCTACACACTAATCCCCTACCTAAACCTCCCTTCTTCACCCAACATCCATTCCAGACCCTACACTCCCTCCTTTAATATAGTAGAAAAGTGTGGCCTGTGACCACTTACCAAATTCTTGGATTGGGCCCCATCAGAAATGATTGCCCACCTCTGAGCTAGAGAGTGACAGAGTAATAGAAAGGCTCTATGTTTTCTGGTGGTCAGGGCATCTTTCTATATATGGTGGACCCTCAGGGTGTGTCTAGACTACAGGGTTTTTTCAAAAAAAAGTGGTCTTTTTAAAAAAAAAAACTTCCCAAGTCTAGACTGCTGCTGCGTTCTTTTGAAATTAAATCAAAAGAACGTGGCAGTTTTGTCGACCACAGTAAACCTCATTTTACGAGGAATAACACTTTTTTTTGAAAGTGCTCTTTCAAAAAAAGGTGTTCTTGAGTGTAAACAGGACTTTTTTGAAAGAGCATCCAGACTGCCTGGGTGCTCTCTTTCAAAAATGTGGATCGCTTTTTTGAAAGAATTGGTTGAAGACTAGACTCTCTCTTTCGAAAGAGGCTTGTAGTCTATACGTAGCCACAGTCTAGTCCTCCTTTCCAAAAGCTCTTTAATTATTTATCCACACTGGAGCACTTCAACAGAAGAGATTGAGGGAGATTGCCATGGGAGAAACAGTGATAGCAAAGCAGAATTTAACACCAGGAGAATCAAAGGACTGGTCATATCCCTAGATGGGACTTTCTGAATACCTTTTTCATTATTGCAGTATTTAACATTCCTCCCATAGACTTCAGCTTAGCAAAATATTTGAGCTTGTGCCTAACTTTGACCATGTGGAAAGTCCTCTTAACTTATGCTCTACAGGAGACATAAACACTAATAATTTAAGAAAGCATGTGCAGACAACTTTAAAAAACCTACATTGTCACCCCATTGCCTTAGAACATTAAAATGAATTGATACTTAAACTTCATTAAAATATGAAGTTATTTGATAGAGCACTCATGTAATTTCTATAGCATTCCTCATGTTGATAGCCTGAAGCAAGCTTCAGGCCAATGACAAATTCCAAGAGGAATGTGATACAGAACAATTCATCAGTGAAAAGTCACCTATATGTGGAATTAATCAAATCCAACTTATGCCCAGCATAAACTGTGATTTATATTTATATTGGAATGAATTTACATGGCTCTTTTCTAGTGATATTTTAAATACTGAAATATGCTAATAATGACATGACATTATTGATTGTGTCAATCCATTTTAAGTTGTTTTAGGAAGGAAGCATTGTTCTAATGTACATAACTTCTTCCTTATATTTCCCTAAATTTTTCAAAGAATGCTTGACACACTACATTTAAAATAGTCTCCCACAATTAAAAAGCAGAATGGAAGGTAACCCATAGCTATTTTAGTCATATGAGCAATACAGGATTTGTGCAGAGAGTCTCACCAGGGTTGTAGTGAGCTGACAGTGTAGAGATGCAGCAATCCCTACATCGTATCTTGATAATCCATGACCCTGCATACCAGCTTCCAGGGTGTGAGAAACAGTAAGTGGATTTGCATATTTACAAGTCTGTTTGTATTCTTCTTTCTCACATGGACTGTCTATAACAATTTCTTGCTTTCTAGAATGCCTTGCTTTCTGGAGCTGCAGGTTCAGACCCAATTGCACACAAATAGTAACTTCCCCCTGTCCACTAGATAAACTCAGTTAAAGATCAATATGGCTCAATATGGAGTGGAGGAGGGGATTAGATTTGCCCTTAAATGAATTAAGTGCTTTCTGCCTTATAGAATCATAGAACTGGAAGGACCCCCAAGAGGTTATAAATTCCAGACCCCTGCATCTTGGCAGGACCAAGCACCATCTAGATTCTAGACTGTTCCTGTCTGGTGTTTGTCTAACCTGCTCTTAAATATCTTCAAGGATGGAGATTCTACAGCCTCCCTAGGCAATTTATTCCAGAGTTTATCCACCTTGACAGTTTGGAAGATTTTCCTAATCTCCAACCTAAACCTCCCTTGCTGCAATATAAGCCTATTGCTTCTTGTCCTATCATCAAAGGTTAAGGAGAATATTTTTTCTTCCTCCTTCTTGTAACAGCTTTTTATGTATGTATATAATCTGTACATTAAACTACATGACAGGAACAGTGGATGTTCTGCTGAAATCCATGACAGAATATCCATCAAATTAAATAGGTCAAGGATTTCACCTGTTATATTTGCAAAGTAAAGAACGCAGGACTAAGGAAACACCAAAGTTAAAGTTGCCTGGAAACTTTAGCTTTGCCCTCTTGTGTTCTTGCTTTATGAGGCTGTCTTTAATAACAGGATCACATAACTTTTCTCTATACGTTGAGGTTGTTACACTATATGAAGCAGTTTTTTTTAATCTGCATTGTTCAGGAGGGCCAGTATATAGGCCCCTGACTCTTTCTCTGCACACTGTCCTATGCACTAATCAAAATTAGACTAAAATCCTCTAAACCACTGCCTGATTCACCACTCTTCCTGCTACTTTCATTGTCTAACCCAGGGGTGGGCTAATCTTGGCAGACCAGATCTGGCCCATGATTTCCCATTTGCCCTCCCTGGTTTAACCTATACAATGAATAAAGCAAAGGTTCTAGACAAAAAAGAAGTATGTGATTATAGATCAAAGACTGTTGCAATATGCCTTCTGCCCCCAACAAGCCAAGCAGAAAATGCACTGCAGCTTGCATGTTTTCAAATCCCCTTTTCTTCTACAGGTCAGACCTCTCTGGTCCAGAATCCTTGGGACCTGACCAGTCCCGAAAGAGTGAATTTGCTTGACCTGCTATGGGCCCCCCGAACCCACCTCCCCTCCCCCCTGCCAGCCCGAGCCAGCCTTCTCCCCCTCCAGGCTGCTGTGCTGATTTTTTTCCAACAGCCTGGAAAGCCACGTCCCCCGACCTGTTATAGGGGCTACTGCATCTGCTGCATTCCCAGCCTCAGCACCAACACTGGAGCTGCCATGGCTGCCGCATCCCTGGTCCCACTACTGGGTCTGCTGCATGCCTGGCTGCACTATCAGGGCTTTGGCCCCAATCCCAACCCTTGCCCTACTAGGTTCTGAGATGCCAGCCCTCTTGCCACTGGGGATCGCAGCCAGGACTCCCTGGTTCAGAAACACCGGACAAGAGAATCCTAGTTTTGGGAGGTCTAACCTCTACTTAGTATTCTGTTCTTGCACCAGGAATGGCAGAACAGGAAACCTTCTTGATTATAACCAAGGCTATCTTGATTATTTTTTAAAAGGGGTAGTATGCTATTCACATGCCCCATATCAAAAATACATTTCTATTTTTTTTAGGTACTTATCCTGGTTTCCATCACCACAGTAATAAAAATTGCTCACAATCATTAATGTATTTATTCTCAGAACACCCTTGTGAAACGATATTATGGATATATCTACAGATGAGTCACAATGAAAACATTGGGGTAAAGCTGGAATGCATAAATGGGTCACCAAAAATTAACAGAAAAGGGTCATGAATACAGCTGACAAAAATGAAGAAAACTGAGGCATTCCTACAGCTATGTATTTTTATATGGTGTAGGGCACTGCTTAAACTATAATTCTGTGCTAAAGAAAGAAGGGTTCATGGACATTAATTTGGGGGTAGGAGAAGATTATGCTATGAGAGTTTTGCAATCCATCCCAAATGAGTGCTGAAAAATCCACATCACTGTATAGTATGTATATTACAGAGCCCTTCCACACATTTTATAAATGTTTTGGCATCAAACTGTATGGGGATTAATTCCAATGTCGTTTTTCTCTAAAGCCATGTAAATGCCTTTAGTTTCAATGAATCCAACTACAAAGAGATCACAAGGGGAAAACATTAAACTACTTACATTTAAAAAAGCTGTCTGTTTCTATATGTAAATGAGACAGCTTTACAGTCTGATATCTTGGGACTTTTCAGGGCTAGGAGAAAGTGCTGTGCATTCCCAAAGAATTTTAGGAATAGATTCTTTGCGATGTCATAAAGCCATTTCGAGCTCTGCAAGGCAGTCAGACATTAAGCCTGAAATTTTGCAGGGTAGAATGATGTCAGTTCTAGGCCTCAGGCTGCTCAATTTTGTTAGAAATATTATGTGAAAGAGTGAATCATTTTTGTAATAGCTTGGTTTTTTTAATTATTATTAAAATGGTGGCTGGCTAAAGCTTCTCAGAGGTTTGGAATGTTAGAAGCAGTTCCACAAGACATGGATTCAGTGGACAGAGTTCAGGTGAGGAGTTCAAAGGTGTATAACAAATGCAATTTATCATATGACTTCACAATATATCTCAGGGAAATTGACAGCAGAAAAGAGATGACTATATGAATTTTATGGTGACAAAAATCAAATGTGAATTTGCATAAAATGAAAATCAATTTCAGAATTTGTTTTTTAAACTAATAGACCTAAGCTCAGCTGCAGAAGGAAACTGTTTGCTTCTTTGAAAATGTCGTAACAGAAAGGGGGGGGGAGAAGAAAATCTGAGTTTTCATATATAACAACATGAAGTTGACTTTTAAATGTTACAGTTTTCTTCATTTGAATTATAATAGACCAAAATAAGCATAGCCCAATTTTAGAAAAGGTTTGCAAAAGTTTTTTTAAAAGTAACATTTAAAAAAAAATTGGCTTGCATATAGAAAGTCTTTGTTACTGGCAAAGCTTTAAAATAAAAGCATCCTCCCTGCTTTGGCTGCTTCACTGTCAGACTAGCTTCTCTCTGAAGCATATCAGGAGGAAAGGCATACCTGGATCTCAGTGCCCC